GAACCTCTCCCGCCCTCATTTTCTTCACACCTTTCCCATTTTTCTTCTCTCTACACTCTCTCTAAACCTCCCAAAACTCCACTAGTGCTAGAAGAAAGCCCCGGAGCGCTCGATGGATCCGAGAAGAAGAGCTTCCGGCTTGGAAGTTCTGCCCCTATAGAGCCCGACTGCTAGCCAAACCCCCTTGTTGGTAAGATACGCCTACGCTTATTTAAATATAGTTTTTATTTAAATATAGTAATGTTATTAGGACCTTATAATAAATACTTGGGCTACTAATATGAGTTATATAAGTGTTGTTATAATATCTTTCTACCCACTTGCGGGACGGGGAATCTGGTTTGGAGGGCCGCTTGGGTTGCTGGATTTCAGAAGTGATATATGCTAAAATGATCCTGTCATTCTGTGTTCCATGTTTGGCCCCTGTCTGTACATAGTGGGTGAAAAGTATTGTGTTAACACTTATATAATAGTAATAATAATTAGACTATTAATTAGTCTCGTCGAGCATTAGACTAAACTCTAGTGGTAATGATACTAGGTTCTTTCAAAGGAGTTGTTTAAAGTAAACGAAGTGTCGTCTGAGTACCGAGTCACCACCTTTTCAAGTCAGTGCATAGTCTCTTTCATCATACACATATATATGAAGTATTCAAATATAAATTACGTGTTATATGTGCATATTGTCTGAATACTTGCTGTCTATGCTGGGTGAAAGATTTTTATACATGTTTTAAATGATTTAAACTGTATATGTATTTTATATCTACAAAATGTTTTGGGTAAAACATGGGTCAATGAAATAGTTATTCTATGATAACACGATGAAAGACATCAATTCTGATAATGATCTAGTCATCTAGTGGAGTATAGATGATGACCACAGAGTATACTAGATAGTTCAGTGGAATGCTAGCAGGCTCGTAACCTCATGTGTTTTTGAACTAGGTGCTCATTAGGTATTTTCGAATTGAGTGTGTTCACTAGGTATTTTTGAACTGAATGTGTTCACTATGTATTTTTGAACTGAGTATGTTCAGTAGATATTTTTGAACTAAGTGTGGTTACTAGGCATTTTTGAACCGAGCGTGTTCACTATGTATTTTTGAACGAAGTGTGTTCACTAGATATTTTTGAACTAAGTGTTCACCAGATGTTGTGGACTACATACGAGTTCACCAGTTGTAGTCTATAAACCATAGTAACAATGGACTTCGTGTCAATTCCTTAGGATGATCCTTAGGAATAAATGAACGAGGAATAGTTGATTCTTAGGAGTAAAGAAGAAAATGGGGATGGGTAATTGGGTTGATTAATTGTATGAAGATTAAACATAATAATTATATTATTGTAGGTTGAAAACCTTATGTACTCACCATGTTTCCCAACCTGACCTACTTAGTTTATTTATATCACAGGTGCTGATATGAAGTCTCATTACACTGAGAGATTAAGGAGATATAAATTACTAGTGACAATGAATGTAAGTTTTGTTTAGCTTATGTTTCTGTATTGACGATGACATGCCAAATGTTTTAAAATGAATAAAATACTTTTCAACGAAAATGCTTTGATAATGTATATATCATATTTTACTGAGAACAAATTCCGCAACATTTTTATTAAAAGAGGTACTCTAATTTTTATAGGTACTTGAAGCATTGTTTGAAGGTGGATCAGTAGTCTATATGTCATTGCATGTCTTTGTCTTGATGATGATGATGAGGTAAGGTAAGTAACTTAAAATACTTACCAATTATTTAATTTGATAATATTAGAGATAATGGTAGTATAGCATCAACAGAAAAAGCAGGACATTGATTACCTGCAATTTTCCTCTTGAAACAATGGTGTATGAAAATCTTGATTAATAGATTCTGGTTTACAAGGACTTTTAAGCTTTTTAACTTTTGAATTTGGATTGGTATGTGATGCGTTGCTAGATGAAAGAAAAACTAAAGGTAGATGTTCGTTGGTTAATAATTAATACTTAATTCCTGATGAAAGTGGAATGGGTAAAAATTAAATAGATGAGTATGATATGGCAATTGACAAGGTCATGGTCATTGATGACATAAATAAAAGGGAGAATTTCATACATATCCTTTCAAACTTTAAATATTACGTCAATATCCTTAAAAATTTTAAAATTACATATACATCATTTTAAAACTATAATATTTACATATATATCCAAGTTTATATTTTTATTAAAATTAAACTCATATAATTTTAAAAACCAATATAAAATTCAAAATTATATATATTGTTAATAGAATACCCTTTTTAACTAAAATATTATATATAGACGTGTTAATAAGGATTAAACAAATGACAGTACACTAACTTCGATATCATTTCTTCAACATGTTAAACAACTGCAGTTGATATAGCCATTGTTTTTGACGGTTTTAAAAACTATGCATCACAATTATGCCACTTGAGGTTTTATTTAGCGAGGATAATGATATGGGTAGTTGTTGACTTAATGGGTGTGTATCTCATATTTCCTATTGGATTCGTGAATTGCTTTGATTTTTTTTTTTTTCACTTTTCAGTGCTACTCCTATAAAAAAGAAGAAAACAAATACATAAAAATGGTTACAATCAAAAGCTGAAAATCAAACATGATTACAAAAACAACGAAACGAATACATAATTGTTCTAATTCTGAAAAGAAAAGACTCTTCGTTGTAGGACAATAATGTTATTTATGCATATTAACGTCTAGACAATAAGTGGTCATGAATGGAAATATTTCTCTCTATATATATAACGACGAATGTGTTGAAAAGTTTAATTAGTTGTTTAACAAGATTAATCTTGATTAAAATGGTTTAAATTTAATATTTTATTTAGCAATGGTATTTTAGTAACATCATATATAATTTTTAATTTTAGACAAGTTTTTTAATTTTATATTAGTTTAATTTTAATTAAAATATAAATTTGGATATAGATGTAAATATTATAGTTTTAGAATGATGTATATGTAATTTTTAAATTTATAAGGACATTGACGTAATATTTAAAATTTAGAACGATATGAATGAAATTTTCCCATAAAAGCATAATAAAATAGGTGTATGTAACGTGAGGAGAGAGTGACACGATACAATGATGTGTTAAATAATGCAAACCAGATGAATGTTTTTGTTCTTTTACCGAATAACATTGATATTTTATACCATAAGTGTATGTTCTTGTCTGATTTGTAATTGTTTCTTTCATTTATCTAATCACATTCATCTCTGTGCAAAAAGACATGTATGCCCTCAGTTGCTTGATTCAGTTTGTTGATGCTTTTTTCCTACTTATATCAATTCATCATGGATGTGACCAAGTTCATAGTTGCTTTTATCAGTATGTGCTTATCGAATTGTATTCCCTCTTCCTTGTTTTCACTTTATGCTTCATGCTTTTATCTGTAGTTAGGTTATAGCCTTAATATATACTATGACATTAAGTTGGTTTAAACTACTAAAACTTATTGGTTATTTTTTCTAATTTACTATTGTTTGTAAATTCATTATTATCATTAAAAAATTCATTTTTTTTTCTGTAGATCATTCATTAACAGAGTTTTCAAGTTTATACCAGAGTGGTCAAGGTCTCTAAGACTAAATACCAAAATCATTTCCAATGTTTTCTTGTATTTTTGTTGTTACTTGTTTTTCTAATTATATTTTTGATCGATTCCAGTTCACAAATTGGAAATTATTGGTGAGACCACTAGTAAAAAGCCAGCATTGATCTTTTTGTTTTTTCAATTGTTATAGTTGATGAATATTGTTTGTTGGGTGTGTAATGGTAAAATGGTAATTATTTTTAAAGAGGTTAAGTGGAGAAGCAAATTTTGATCTTCTAATGTTGTTCTTTTAGAATGTTCTTCTTTTTCAGGTGGTTGGAATTGGACCTAAAGTTGGTTGCTGATAGAGGAATAGTGGGTGCTCCAAATGCAGGAAAAAGCATGTTTTTAAGTATTATTAGTGTTGACATGTAGTGTTGTTTGACATGTAATGTTAGGTAACTTGTTTGACATGTGATATTTTTTTGAATGAATTATCGTTCTTATGTATGATATTTTATTTTGTATTATGATAATTTCAATCTGTTGTTTAATTTGAAAATTAGTAATTTTATCATATATATATATATATATATATATATATATATATATATATATATATATATATATATATATATATATATATATATATATATATAATATGTGTCATCTTCTTTTATGACAAGGCCTTCCTTCATACGCATTGCGTGTCGTAAATTGACGACGCGCAAAAGCGTGTCGTCTCTTGTTATGATAGGGCCTTCCTTGACACACATTTGCGCGTTGTCTGAGCGTTTTATGACACGCATTGCGCGTCGTAAAATGTTGTTTTTCTAGTAGTGACTCGGATTCGGTAATTCATATAAAAATATTTTTTTAGGGAAATTATATATGTCAAAATCATAAGTTAAAATCAAAAGTTGAGTGAAATATATAACAAAATTAGATACATGTGAATACAAAAAAGCATAAAATCGCTTAGTGGTCTCGCTTCGTGAATAATTGCTAAAAATTTAAGATAAATATGTAGTAATACTCACATGTGTGTGTGTTAAATAATAATTCATTAAGTATATTATACATATTAATCACCGATTTGACCGGGTTTTACAACACTGCTTAGTTTAGTAAGGGGTCGATCATGGAGTACTCGGGATTCTCCAACTCGCATCGCTAAGGGACCGAGTAGCGAGTACTTAGAGGAGTAATCGGACAACTCGGCGAGTTTTACAACACTGGGTATGCAATAAAATATTGGATTTTTCTCAACTCTTTCTTGATCGGTTGATTGCTTTTATTACTGGGAATAAGAAGTCGACGAATATTCCTTATCCTCATTGGCTTGGATTGATTTTGGCTTATGATGAAGAATGTTATAAAGTTAATCATGGAGAGATCATTCCAATCCTAGATCTCTCCTCAAAGATCATCAATGTTGATCCTTCTGGTGGTGATATGCACATTACCCAGAGAATGGGAAACTGGATTGCAAATCCCTACACTGTTGAGTCTTCTAACACCGAATAAGAGGATGATGAGGACGATATTGAATATAACGAAGAAGACGATGATGATGAAGAAGGCACTAGTGATGAAGAAGAAGGCGTTGTAGATGAAGAGTATGAACTTGCCGCTGATAAGGGAGAAGCCGTTGTTCATGGAATGAATTCTCCTCTAAGATTGAACAAGAACATTCGATTCTCATTTACGTGTTCATCTACTGCCTATGTAGATGATGTTGTACAACATGGATCAACCCCACCTCAAGTGGAAACTGCTGATCCACTGATCCAAGATGTGATTTCTCCAAGATCAGTGTCTCCCTATCATCAAGCTGAACCTACTCCTCCTATGCCAACACCTCTTCGCATAGTTTCTTTTTATCAAGGGGAATCCAACTCTAATTTTCAAACTGATGTGCCCTTTCAACTCTCCATCTCCCTCTCTCTCTCTCTCTCTATTGGTGCAGTTAACTCAATATTTGCGAGAAAGATTAACTCAAGTAGAAATGGATGTGGCTGATATGAAACGTTTTATGACCTTGGTGATGATGATAATGATGATGATTTTGTTATTAAAGATATTCCTCCAAATTATCTAAGTGATAATCCTCCACCTCTACCTCTACCTTTATCATCAAATCCACCTCTACTTCCTCCTCCACCATCTCATCCCTATCCTCGCACTCCTTCATCACCTCCTGGCTCCCAGCCCCCAACCAATGATGCCAAAAAAAGGGGGGGGGGATTGTGAAGCGAGCAATAATTAGAAAATAGTTATTGTAACAAATCGATCTCTGCATGATTAAAAGACAATCGTTGTAGTTGAACAAGAGAGCAATATCCTAGACACTAATGCAACAAATGATGATCAACCTATCCATGAAGCGAGTGATCAATCTAAGACTGGTGACTATGAAAGGGTTCTCGACATGGGGTATATGGCACAAGCTGTTGTTTCTTTGCTTGTTGTTTACCCTGATTCACATTTTGAGGGGGAGATTACTCAAGGACGTATATGAGGATGAACAACTCAATCCTAGAAAGAGGAAGGCTTCCTTCTTAGGGGGAGCCAATGATGCTAAAGCTGGAAGTTCTTCTACCGTTGATTCTTCAACCCCTCCTCATTCTAAGAAAAACAAGCTCACTGTTGATTTGAATGATTTAGCTAAAAAGGGGTATAGTTATTATACTTATCCAAGTGGGAGACTGTTGGATAAGGTGTCTAAGTCCATAACTATTTCTAGTATGTACTTGACCGGACCCGGCATGGTCCATTTAGGTTGCATGGCACCATGCAAATGGATAGACTAAATGAGAGAAATAACACTTGTGGTTTATTAATATATTATAAATTAATAATATTATTTAATTAGTTTGATCAAGAATTAATTTTGAGAGTTTGTAACTCCCATGAGCATCCATGGAGCATCCTATGGGTGGAACCCAACTTGATAATCCATGGAGTTTCTTTAGCCCACTATACAAGTATGGATGATTTACATAATCAACCTATATATTTAATTAGTTATCTTTTAATCACTTAATTAATTCTAAATTAATTCTTGATCAAACTAATTAAATAATATTATTAATATATTAGAACTTATAATATATTAATAAACCACAAATGTTATTTCTCTCATTTAGTTTATCCAATTGCATGGTGCCATGCAACCCAAATGGACCAAGCTGGGTCCGGTTAAGTACGTACCAGAAATAGTTATGGACTTAGACACCTTCTCCAACAGTCTCCCACTTGGATAAATATAATAACTACAACTGTAAGTATGACTTCAGGAACCGATCAGTATATGAGGATGAACAACTCAATCCTAGAAAGAGGAAGGCTTCCTTCTTAGGGGGAGCCAATGACACTAAAGATAGAAGTTCATCTACCGTTGATGATTCTTCAACCCCTCCTCATTCTAAGAAAAACAAGATCACTATTTATTTGAATGATTTAGCTAAGATTAGAAAACTTAATGCAAGAAGGATGTTCAAAGGAATGTACTTTGAATATGAGACTTCATTTCCATGGAACTGCTCTCCATTAGAATACTTTGTAATGTTTGTTACCAAGTCTTTGTGACTTTCGTGCATAGTCATTACAAGAGGATCATTGCACATAAGTTTAGAATCTAACAGATTTCAGTAAATGGAAAATAATCTTGTATTCTTACATTTATCATAAGGATTTGGAATTGTGAAATGAGAATAATTGAAATGTTTTTAATTGATGTATTCTGTGACAACCCGATATTTCAACTCTTTTTAATGGCATAATAGGTCAAGTATTGTAAACATTTTTGAGTTAATAAAATTAACTTTGATAATAAAATGTCCAAAAAGTTTCTATTTAAATTCTTCTATGTTTAAATATCATTAAACCATGATTGTACGTAAAAAGAACGCCCAAATCCGACTTCGTATATTGAAGTTATGATTTTTCCAAGTTCAGCTTAGCAACAGACAGCTAAAAACTCGAAACGGAGATCGAGCGACATTTGGCCGGAATGACCTAAACGAGAATCGAAGGTCTCGACAATGATATTTCAACGGTAAAAAAAGTCTGGCAAAAACCGACATCAGATAAAGAAGTTATGAATTTTTAAAGAAATTCCTTAATCACGTCATTTTAATAAATAAATAATAAAAATAATTTCAGAATTTGACAATGGAATCTAAACGAAAGTTGTAGATCGTAGTCTCACCTTCGCGGGGATATAAAGAACGTCGAAAACGGAGTTCGTATGAAGGAGATATGAATTTTTGAAGTTTGATAAATAATTTATATATAATTTTTATTAAAAATTTGGTATTATCCAAGACGAGTCAGCCTAGGGCCGAGGTACGCGCCGCGTACCCTCGTACGCCCTGCGTACTCGAGGCCACGGCCTCGGATCGTCCACGTCGCCCTATGCGAAGCTACCTGACCCGCCGTCCCATCCGACCCGCTCCATCCGAAATACGTAAGCGATGACGTACGGGTACGCACTGCGTACGCCCGTACGCCCCGCGTTCGGAGGTGGTTCAGCACCCTTATAAAAGGGATGCGAGCCTTTCCGAAAAATTGGTTCATTTTCTCTCTTTCTCTCACGATCTTGCCTCGATTTCCGTGCCCGTTCAAACTCGAAGCTCTGGTCTTTTTGCTCAAGTCCCGAGGGTCGATTTTACTCCTGAGAATCCCAGAAAAATCCGTTTCCCGAGACAAAACTCTGCCCGATTTTCGATCTCGCTATCTTCAAAACTTCCAAGTGAGTTCATACCCCTTTATTCAACCTTTGAAATGCTTTTAAATGTTTTAAATACTTTATGGGGGGGGGGGGAATACACGTTAAACACTTATAGTTATTGCTTCGATCACATGTGATTGCATTAATCACATGTGATTAATAACTAGGAAACCAATGATTTTATCACTGTTCAAACTGTTTTACTTCAAAATATTTTACAAACTCTTTTACTTATCAAATGCTTTATTGTAAACTTTGTTTTACTACCTATAAATTTGCATGCCTATATATGTATAGTATATAAATAATGTTTAAAGGGCTTAGGAAAGCCACCTGTCCTATTTCCTTTTCCTGATTTGGATGTGGTCTGGTGGAATTTCGGGTGACCATCCGAGGGTCGTTTCAATATTAGTTATATATCATATATACATGTATTGACATAAAAGTACTTCCATATTCATACTTATCAGCACCTCGTTAGTAAGTTACCATCGGGGTAACACAGGATCATACTACTACAATTTCTAGATCAACGAGTCAGTTCATTCAGGAGTCAATACTTATTACTAAGAGAACATATACAACGATACTAGAACAAGTAACATTATATTGCATATACACGAATACGTTAACAATTGTGATCCACTGTATGGGAGCATGTCTTAATTGACATGACCCGAGTTGTAGCCAGAGTCTCTTGGAGGGAGAGCGTGAGTTTGCGTATAGATCTATACTGGATTGACTATCCTACACCTCGCTGCTAGCTACAGTGGGACCGACAGGTCTGCGGGTGCCAAACGTCATACCTTATTTTTCGACTATACGTTGTCGATGTTACCAGTCGATAGTATGGTGCAATTTATCACATGATACCTTAATATAAACCCGGTTTAAGGTAGTTAGTACAGCAGTAGTTCATATAAAACAAAACTACCGTACTACAATAATTTACCCATTACATTTTGGTGATAACCTCACTTAAACTTTAATGTACAAACTATATCTTTTTAAATGATAGTTACACTTGGGAAATTACACACTTTTACATCAAACGAGCATACAAAACAGTTAAGCCTTGGTAGAGGGCTACTTTAACAGAAAATATAGGTTTTTCTGAGAGATTCAAACTTTTACAAACACTTACATACATTTACAACTCATACTTGCGACAGGTTCAAACGTTTTGATAACAAACCTCGACACTAAAATACTTATGAATTCACCAGCTTAATGCTGATAAACTCTTTCAAAATAACTTGTATTCTCAGGTCATCAGTAGTCAGGTACCGATGCTAGCTTTTGAGAAGATGGAGCGCATTCAAGACTCATCATACTATTTTGATTTAAATTATATTTTTGGTGTCTAAAACTGTACGGAACACGCTTGTATTAAAATTTTATATTTAATGCAATGGATGATGTTGTTTGCTTATTTACATTTACTGTGTTGTGATACTTTACATGACGTCCTCCGCCCTAGAACGTTTCCGCCATTCTTGGTTTTGGGGTGTGACAGATTGGTATCAGAGCATTGTTTATAGTGAAGCAAGTATATCAACCCATAAAAGATATACTAAACTATAAACCCATTTGGGATTAAAACACTCTGACCAAGAGTCTATACTTTAAATACTAAAATAGTTAATTAAGTATACTAGTCTGCATTCATACTAAAACCAGTGTCACAACGACAAGAACAAGAGTATTACGATTGTTAAATATCACAGGTAAGCTAGGGGATGTATGGTCAGTCCTGGGAATGGCATAGCCTGATCAACTATGCTGGTCCGAGGAGTGATTAGCATATGCCTTAGAATAGTCGTGATGTGTTAACAAGTCTAAAAACTTACCAACAATGCCACAAAAAGATCAGTGGAACTTAAACTTAAAATACTATAGGTGTATTTTGTGCTATTAACTACATACATACTATATCTTTATACCTCTCTTCTCACGTAGATTTAAATGGCTGGATTCCATCACGACGACCCGTACTTTCCAAATGAAGGCAACATAGGAATGCTCGAAGCAGAGTCTGACGATGAACACCAAATTCCGTTGGATGATCATCAAGCTGAAGGCTTCTCAGATGGATCAGACTCTGAGCCTGAAGTCAACAACCTACCGCTCGTAGGTCAACCCCCGAACAACAACCCTCGACCGCTTTTCCAGGTCCTATCCCTTATGGGCAAACAACTTGAATCGTTGGAGTGATGAACAGGGTCAACCCTTACCATACTTTGGGGACCGAAGCTTTTACAACGTCAACAATGGTGGCTCTGCTGACCGAGCCCTGCCTGTCATTATCCGCAGAATAGCTCGTAATGTCGAGCAAGGTAGAGCAGCCATCGACCGGGTCATGGAGATTGATGCCAACTCAGGTGTCAACACAGTCCGCATCCGCCGTCTTGAAGAAGATATTGAACGGACTCGGAGAACCAATGAAACCCTACAGCAACATCTAGTTGCCTCTCAAGCTGAAGTCATGGAACTCCGAGCTCGTCAAAGTGCTCATGAGCAACACCTTCAAGAGGTGGTCCGTCAAATGAGAGACCTTAGGGTTCTCCCGAGGAATATTCATCGCCGTTAGATGATGTCAAGTACATCATTATCTTTAGGGTTAAGGATTAGCCTTTAACATCTGTGCTCTCAGTAGCACTTGTCTGTAAAATATTCCTAACTTTCAGTACTCTAATTAGGAATCTAAGAACTGTCAAACTTTTCTATATGGTATGATGTAAGACCTACTGTTAGGTCGATTTTCCTTGAACTATTACATCAGTAAT